GGAGAACGCGTTATTTTTGATTTCGAAAGGACACTTAATACAACCAATAATCCACTGCACTTTTCAACATCCTCAATATTTTTTCTCAACGGTTGTAATGGTAACTATCGGAAATTCAATCGCATTTTGCTCAATTGTGCCAAATCCCAAATCACAGAGAATAATTGTCAGTCAAGTCAAATTAAGTAGAGTGTGCATTTTATTCACCTATTGTGGACAGAATTTTCTGTGAAAGTATGTTATCACTTTTCGTTTGACGTGCATGCGATGAAAACACATTTGAAGATATGACATTTGTTAAATAAATAATGAGGAGGAGGGGCGAGAACGCGTAGCAAAAGTATACAGTTGTATAGTGAATTTACACGAGATTGTGCATCAGTTTTTATACTCATTCTTTGGAAAACAATGAATGAGAAAGATGAGCTACATCGAAATTGTGAAAGGCTTTAGTGTGAGTGTATAAAGGTTTACATTTATTGCGGGAAACTGAAGTGGAAATGGAGAGAAAGAGGGTTAAGTGTAATGGATGTGATGTATCAGACAAGACTGTGAAGAAACGTTGACTACAACCGGCCGTGACGCGCTTCAGAACGGGAACCCCGAGATCGCAAAACAACCAAGTTACAGCTGGTTAAACCAGAAGACTTGTGGTTGTTATAGACGTTTATTGACGTACCGTGGTATGGGGAAAGCACCGGTACCGGCTAACGATCGTTCGCGTTAAACCACAAAGACACAAGAACCAAAGAGCGCGATAACGAGCAAAACGGAGCGAAAGCGAAAAAGTGAAACTTCCCTTCGCGGAACGATATAGCAGCTTTTGATCGTATAAAACAAACGTTACATGGCGTTAGTACTGAAGTGAAGAAGTGAACATAAATTCAAATTGTAGAGGAAAAATGATGTCCGGCAAAAGTCTGATATTGTCCGGTTTTCACCGTACCATCGGGCACACTACAACCAGTCACACAAACGGTCATACGTCTCAATTACAATACAGTTGACTAACACCATAATATGGACATCTCCATATCTAAAGAAAAATCTTCACAGAGCAACTGTTCAATATGGAATCTTTAGGCAGCATACTGGGGAGTTAAAGCGGAGTAGTAAGTTGAATGGTATAAAAAGTACGAGCAAATAAATTTAGAAATGACGTATAACGGCACCTTCAAATTTCGAAAGCATGAAGTGTGTAAAACGTCAGCTTTCTGACTTTAAGAAATGTTTTTTGTGAACGGACAGTCAGCTGACGCCATTCGCATGCACACACACACACACATGCACGTACGCATATGTCACAGAACATTTGAATTTGCTCCGGTTATCTGACAAGGGCTCACGCTCACTCTGGTATCGATTTAACCTCATCGATCCCTTTCATGAGATCGGCTTGTAAGCTAACAATTTTATGCACTAAACGATCCACTCATCAAAGGGTTGTTTTGTGCCTCCCAGCGGACGGGTCATAACATTGTACTATTAGGAGTGTTGTGTCCTTTCAATATGTGCACCAAAATCTTGGTTTCGTCTCTGACACAATCACAATTTATTTTGGTGAAAATATAACCATACAAAACTTCGGCATATTTTTCCACATCTTTTTTATGAACAAAGTCATACGCTTGTGTTAAAAGTAAAATAATTGACGTAGGTCTCAGGTTTTTATTGGAATCCCGAAAGAAATTAGGATTATGAGTATATAATCGATACTGCATCAAGTATAGAAGATAAGATTCTTTGATAGATTCAGCTCATTCTCACACACAAGGGGTTGGATAGAGCCTTTGATGTGTACGGATGTCAAATATTCCCCTCACGGTGATCGTCTTAAACATAAAATGTGCCTCTTGTACTACGGGAGATTATTCAAATGTATAGAAAGCTTAACATCTTTCGTCGCAAACTACATGCAGTCATCTGGTCACTAAGCGCCTACCAAATTCTTATTAACTACACTGTGAGGACGATGTCATCTCTACAAAGAAAGCTCTGAAGGTTGACATTGAATGTCTGAGGTTGAACCATCAAAAATAAGTGGAGTTTTGGCCCGTCAATAATAAAATTTGACTCAGCGAATTTGTAGTTACATTTAATTTAAAGATTGTGATTACACGGGGACTCGTAGGTCCGTTTTATGGATCATCATTGTTTAGTTTGGGTAGTGCAATAGCGTTTCATTCTCAACGAATACATGTTCAATGTTCTTCAATTAGAGGCAGAGGGTAATTTCCCGTATGAGCCTCATCACCACAGACTCGAAGATCTCATTCATGATAGATCTGCATACCACATTGTCCGCAGGACGCTGTCGAGAGCTTCCTCTTGAACATCTTATCATTGACCTCGTCCACCACGTCAGCTGGAAGGGAGTTTCTGCTTGAACATCTTATCATTGACCTCGTCCACCACGTCAGCTGGAAGGGAGTTCCAAAGGTTATGAAATCTTTATCATTTTGACCTCTTCCACCACGTCAGCTGGAAGGGAGTTCCAAAGGTTGGTTACCCTTCGCGATGAAAACAAATGATTGCTGCAAATTTTGTTGAATGATATTCCTCACCCTTATACGCTTTTTTGATTGAATCATATAACTTAAACGTGGAGCAGATATCTGTTACAGACTTCAGACAGAACCCGTCCAAACCTGATGAGACAAGTGTTTGAAAGAACGTCGACAGGATATTGAAATTTGAACACTGCTACAGCTGAATTCATTAAATGGTCCACATGGTGCTATGCAAAGTCCTGTTTTACGCAAATTTCACGCTTTCGGACCGTGGTCAATCTTGAATGTATGTAAAATTGTAAATCTTTAGTAGAATGCCATTACTAAATTATTCGAAATTCTTGCGTCACGGTTGAAGGATCTTGCTGGTGTGATCTGTTTGAAATTTTACTTTGATGTATCTGCTAGTTATAGGAGTATGCCAATAAGCCAATGTTATAGGAATGAGATTATCAAATCTTACAAAACTACAGAGAATCTTTTTATAAAAATTTCTTCAGATACCCAACAATATTTACGTTTAAAAAATGTAGTCGATGTATATAGTCAATTTTAAATCGCAACGTAATGACTAATAGCTGTTTCTTTATTTCGCCTGAAATTAGCCTTGATAGTTTCCTGCGATCACCGTTCAGCTAAAAAGATCACTTTGCTTCCCAGTTGATAGAAATGCAAATGTAAGACTTCAAGACGGACTAGAAAGAAATAAATGTGGTTCATTTATATCATTATATCCAGTACATATTTGTGAACATTTTTATCTTAACTAAGGTATGTTTACACACACACGTTTTACTAATTCATCCACTATAGATGAAAACGAAGAGTAGAAAGGCAATGAGTAGTGCCAGAAAAATGCCAACGATTGCAATTGTCCACTGACTGGTCAAAGTACGAGAATCGTCTGGAATAGGAAAGATGAACGATTGATTAGCACAAAACATTGCAAACGTGAATTAAAGCTAACCAGACAGTGATAAGCTGATCGAAAACACACTAAAAGAAGATTTCCTTCATGTGAGACCATCGAGGATGCCTAGCATTTTCAGGAATTTTTCGGAAAACATTGTACCCTTAACTGAATCCACCTACTGTTGCCACGGCCATCACACGCCATCTATTGGACCGGATCTGCCCAGTGAACATTGCGAGTGGGTTACCGAGCAACAATAAAAACTTATTTTGAGTTGAATTTTGATTACCCATCCTGCGAAATTATTATAATGTTGCTAATTGATCAACTGATTTTGAGATGGAAATGAACAAACCCGACAGTAGTTTATTTTTGTCAGTTATTTAAGGAAGCAAAATCGCGATAGGTTGAATCGATAAAACGATCTTCGTGCTCACAAATCAATGGACTTACAAACTGACGTTTTAGTGTAGCTCCATTATGTGACTGTTGTTTAATTCAATACGCATCACTTACTGGATCCTATCGAATACCGACCCAGACCATTCGCAAGGGACTGATTCTCATTTACAATGAGTATAAAGTCTAAGTGCTTCAATTAGAGAGATCTCTCATGTTAATGAAAGAGCATTCGTCGAACAGAGCCGATATATCACTCAACGCTGAAAAGATACAGTGCTTCCAAGCATTGCCGGTGCTGAGAGAATTTGATTGATCAAGCTCCACTGATAAATTAGGTTGTGAATGAACCAATATTATTTGTCAGACACCACTACTCACAAGTAACAATGAATTAAATGCGAATGAAGTTTTTCGTGGTGTAGGTTTAGGAATGGGTGTCCCCCTGGGAACCAAATTCTTGCACATATTTTCACCTAGGCATGGAGTTTAAGTAACCCAATGATTTTGGGATTGGCTTCAATAGACGAAAAGAGGCCAAGTGGTGATCAAACGGTTTTAGGGAAAGTCACCGCTCCAGTTCACTGTCTTACACAATTAGACTCCCAACCTACATTATGGTGAAAGTGTCAGGTGATCCACTAAACCGGAAACACACTGCTGAATACAGATTTCAGCGGCGGTTCCTTTGAACTTTTATCCGATGACACGGTGCCAAATGGCAAAACGTGATTTCAACATACGGTTCCGGTCACGTATCCCCTCCCGAATTGTTTGTATATATGATTGTTAAGAAAACAAGCCACAGTTGTAAGTCAAGATGGACTTGACAAAAAGATGACAAAAGATGACTTGACAAAACACATTTGGTCTGAATGAAAGCGCCAGGTGTGAATGTTCATAAAACATGCGAACAGCTCAAACTCTATTTCCGACAAAGCAAAATGCAGACCGCTTCAACTATGAAAGAGTGCACAGAGTTTTCTTCAGCCCGCATTCTCTCAGATTGGAAAAAATGGTTTCAGGAAGAAGCCACTGAATACGGAAGAGCAAAGAAATAATGTGAAAATGCCGGTCTTCAGATCCGCAAAGTTATCCATCCATACAATGCGTACCGTTTCTAGACCTTTTGCAAGCCAATTTGTCCCAATATCATATCAAGATGTCCTGGGATTATTTCAAGCTGTCACGTTGACATCACCGGTGCTGATAAGCCTCCCGGCGATGTCTGGATCACCACCATGCAACACGGAATGAGATATCTCTTTCAAATTAACTGCAATAGAAATAACGTAACGAGGGCTATCGAAGGATGCCATAATTTTCATAAGAGTTACAGAATTTTATAAGAAAATACAAGTTCAAAAATAGGAATTTTTGCGAAATACATCTTTCTGAGTATGAGCTCTGAATTCGATAATCTTCATTGCTGAAATCATATGGTATTACTTAAACGCCTCCATCATACAAAGTAAACCGGGTGAATTTAGGTTAACGTATGATATTCATAAGTAGTAAGTGCAAACTATCTTCGAACACTCATATTGCCACTGTCTCATTTCTCAATTCAGTTTCACCATGGGAACACTACTGTTATCTTTCTTAGTGACTACCGAAGCCACCACTAATCAGAAATTGTGAAAATGTTCGATAAGTTAGTAAGTTTTAGGAGATCAGACCACCTTTCGTTTATCATAGCTGAACCACAACGCAGTATTTTAGGGTTCCTACAGTCAACCCAGGGGACACGATGGAGACGGAGTATCAGTTGATGAATATCACAAATTGGTAAACAAAGGATGAAACAACCTGTGCACCTGACGTAATATTACATACACTCGCGGACCTGAAAAGGGGGAATACATTTTTCGGCGCAACGAACGTTAACCTAAATTCACCCGGTTTACTTTGTATGATGGAGGCGTTTAAGTAATACCATATGATTTCAGCAATGAAGATTATCGAATTCAGAGCTCATACTCAGAAAGATGTATTTCGCAAAAATTCCTATTTTTGAACTTGTATTTTCTTATAAAATTCTGTAACTCTTATGAAAATTATGGCATCCTTCGATAGCCCTCGTTACGTTATTTCTATTGCAGTTAATTTGAAAGAGATATCTCATTCCTTTCCGAAAATATGGCCAAGATGGTCATTTTGAATGTTCAGTGCTTGATGGTGCTTTCGTGGTGGTTTCACAGAGATGGTTTATAACCTGAAATTGTCGAACAAACTGGATGTGAATCCGGTCAATACTGATGTGTATATCGACCGAGCATGATCTATTGATATCCCAGTGCAGCCGCTTGAAGTGTAGCTTATGAATTCTACTGCAGCATCGTACAATCGTGGTAAGCAATGGCTCAAGCGTTGATCGCGCATGATTCACTGGTATCAGCGGAGGGGGACACACAGAGGCATACGCGTACTAGCAAGATAAACAACCGATATGTATGCCATGATAATTGAGGTGTGTGTGACGCAATCCCGTCTCATAATCTCCCCCGCATTTCAAAAGGAGTTAGAGAAATTGGTGTTGCATGGTAGTCATCCAGACCTGGTTGGGTCTCACAGCAATGGAATCCATCCACCCAACTGGGGATCGAACCGGAGACCTCACTAGCAGAACGCAAGCGTACTACCCGCTTAGCCACCAAGCAGGTGGTCACAACATTCTCCCATTTACCTATACACCATACAGCACAACCAAGCCTTCCGAGCTTAACGTGGGTATCACATTGCGCATCTCGGCACTCATCTCTAGGGTTAGGACTGGGTTGGAAACTTTCAAAACCAGCTAATATTTTGTATGTTAGCAAAGGAGGATTTGATTTGTTCATATTATGAATACATCGTGTAAAGCGTGAGCTGGAAAGCTAGGAAACAGCAGACAAAATGATCATTGATGAATGATGACTATACTACCATAAGCTATTCGGGTCTCACACTAACGTCTTAGCTACTGTTTTATCACTTTTACTAGGT